TACAGACATTTCTGAAAGCAAAAAGACAATTGGAAATGCACGTTTCAATTAGGCCTTGAAACAGATGCCAATCCTTTTTTATAAAGTCATAAATCTTGCCCAAAGGAAGATCTAATTGCCTTTGAAGTCACAAATAATTTAATCAGATTTTACACTCTGATGTACAATTCACAAGCAAGGGCTAAAACACATCATTTATTATCTACGTTTACAAAACCCCCAGACTGTGCTAAGTGCCCTTCTGACTACATGAAACAGGAGTGGTAGGATTAAATTAGAAAAAAAGGCCCCTTCCCTCCCACACACCCCAGCCCCCTGGGGGAGGTGGCAGTGGAGGATTTAATGACTCACACTGAAGTTCCTCTACTTACAAAGCCCTGGCAGCAACCTACACATTCAAAGGGCTGGCGGCATCTTGCACCACTCTTGGTGGCATGAACAAATGAGCTCCACAGCATAGAATCACTGGATGGTCTAGGACAGGACAGAAATGCTGTCCTGAATGGTTATTTAGTTCATGGAAAAGTATTCAGAACACAGGTTAAGTTAAAAAAGAAAACCCTCAACAGTCTACACCAAACAGGTGATCCATGAAGCCGGTAGTTCACAGATGCATTTGATGCGCTCTACAGGTTTTGTTTGTTTTGTTTTGTTGTGTTTTTCGGCCGCACAGCATGCGGGATCTTAGTTCCCCAACCAGGGATCGAACCTGTGCCCCCTGCATTGGGAGCGCGGAGTCTTAACCACTGGACCGCCAGGGAAGTCCCTATAGTTTTTTTTTTTAATTTGAGCCAATGTTATGTTGGGGTAGTTTGCATTTTTTAAATATTTGAGAATTCTCTTGAACAACCAGAAATCTGGCAACACTGAGCCACATCCCCACTTGGCTAGAACCCGCAGAGGGATCTGGCCCCCAGTGCCCTTTAAAAAAAGCATAGCTCTCTAGCTCAGCACACACGTATGGAAAGAGTAAGTACTGCTTTGGAAAGTGTTACACACACAAGCACCCACGAGTGTGTCATAGTCATGAAGACGAGCGGATTTCTGCTTTAGTACACCCCAGTCCTTATCACTTCCAAAACTCACTCATTTCCGTATCTGCCTGATCCCTGGAAGTATTTGAATTTTCAACTTGATAATATGTTGTATAAACCAACATAGAGTAAGTCCAGGATGGGAATTCCCTGGCGATCCGTGCTTTCACTGACAAGGGCGCAGGTTCAATCCCTGGTTGGGCAACTAAGATCCTGCAAGCCACTCAGTGCAGCGAAAAAAAAAAAAGAGTCCAAGAAACAATTTCTAAGGGCTGACTGTGGGAGGTGGGATTATCCCTGACTTTAGGTTTTGTAACTAGCACTTGTTTTAAGACAAACATGTATTGATTTCACAGGACAAAAAGAGTATCTGAAACCGTCTTCCCTTCTCCCTGAAGGAACCCACATGGGGCTGCAAGACCAAAGGACCACTATTGAGAGTGGTGAAAGCCAGGCCCCAGGACTCTTACCCTAATACATATTAATGACTTAAATCAGGATCCCACAAGCAAATACTGGCAAAGGCATCAATCTGGCCAGGAGGTCTAGATAAAGGAGGAATCAGACAAATCATGGAGAATATAAACCACTCTGACCCTTAACACAAGATTCCAAGAGTGAAAGGCGTCTGGCTGAGCAAAGGGCTCCTCAGAGAGCTAAATCCAGCCCTAAGGGTTATAGACACATGATTCTGAGCTCCTCAATCCCCCAAACAAAAGGAGGGTTTCTAAACTCTCATAAAAATTTTATCTAATAACTTATTTCAATGTGTAGTCTTATGTGGCTGGCTACAAATTTTTCCCTGCTGAAACTAATAAGGTTTTTCAATACCATGACAATCTTTTTTTTTTTTTTTTTTTTTAAACACACTTTTGGATAAAGCGCGGTCTTGTCTCAATTATACTCTCTCTGATTGTTGGGGCATGTCAATAAATAACCCACTTCTCCTTCCACAGAGTGCTATTATCGCTGCCAACAGCAGAGGGCAGTGGTGTGCAGTGCAAAGAAAGCCCATCCAGATTCAGGATCTGGCTGTGGGAACTTCAGCACCCCCGTACTCTCCGCAGGGACTTCAACTTGCCTTCTGTAAAATGGGGAGACTGACTCGGAGTTTCTCTTAGTCTATAACAGAAACCGGCAAACCAATCCATGGGCCAAATCTGGCATGCCACCCATTCTTGTATGGCCTGTAAGCTAAGAAGAGTATTTACCATTTTTAAATGATTTGGTGGGGAGGGGGGGATTAGTAGTTCATGAAACATACAAATTATATGGAGTTCAAATGTCAGTGTCTCAGCCACATACTACCTATGGCTGTTTTAGTAACACAACCAAGGTATTGAATAGTTGCACTGTTGTAACAAGAGCTCTACAAAGCCTAAAATATTTACTGTCTAGCTCCTTACAGGAAAGAGGGCAATTTCTAAGACTAAAACAATTTTTAATAAATACCTTCTCTTCCGACACTATTCACTGGCTGCCTAACTCACGATCAGCAAAATAACCCAGGCACATACTAGTAAGCAGTTATATTTGGGGAAACGGCTTTAAATTCTACTGAAATGGGTTATCTGCTAACTTGCCACCTCAAAAGTCACTCATATAATAAGGAGTTTTGTCAGGAATTCTGACGTCATTTCAACCTCTGAACCTCTTGAGGAAAGAGAGAAGCTTAATTAAACCCATTACACGTGTTCCCCTTATTCCTCTAAAACTATGTTTCCTGAAATATGGTGCTGGAACATCAATAGTGGTTCAGAGACCAACATGTTTTATTTTACAAGTTATGTGCTAATTTCACGTATATGAGGAAAAAGCACAGCAAAAAATTTAAACACATGAACTTATACACTTTATTTAGCTTAGCATTTATAAACTGCATCTGCAATTTATAAATTGCAGATTTAATATTTAAGAATGTAATAAAATAGGTGGTACTTAAGATTATGGCAAAAAATCATAGCAGTCAAAGTTCAGGCAACAGTAATTCATGGGACTGCTGCCGAGTTAAAACACTTTCTCAAAAGCATGATCTCTATGAGAACTAAAAGGCTGAGGAGTTTGTGTGATTATATACCATGTTAACTTGGCTTAAATGGAATCATGTCATGGAATAAAAGTAAGCCTTTAAGGACTCTGGTCAGAAACTAGGGGGCAAAACGGAAGTTTTTTCTGAGGCTGGTGAACAGAAGTTATGTCATCAGAACAAAGCTCTATAACTCAACTGTGAGTCCCTCGACCACATGGCTGGATCAGACCTGGAGAAAGACTGCAGCCTTTATTCTGAAGAATCAAAAGCTGTTGGTAATTAACTCTCTACTCCACCTATAGTCATTTGGAGAGCAGCTACAAGCAGTACTTGAAATAAGCAAACCAGAAAGAAGCAACACGAACCAAAATGAGTGGAATTCTTTGAGTTTAACACTAAGTCCCCATCATTTTATCTTCCAGGGACATTGGTGGTCTCTTAATTGATGGCTGCTCCTTTTCTTTTCTTTTTTTTTTTGGCCGCACCATGCGGCTAGTGGGATCTTAGTTCCCCGACCAGGGATCAAACCCAGGCCCTCAGCAGTGAGAGCATGGAGTCCTAACCACTGGACCACCAGGGAATTCCGGACACCTGCTCCTTAAAGAGTTCTTATGTGAAGGAAAGAAGGGGGAGAGGGGTGCCTGAAAGGCTATCCAAGGGTGATGCTCTGGCCAGAGGTCTACTACTGGTCCAACTTGTAGATGCGCTTTATTCATTCTGGAAAATATCTTAAGACATTTTGAGCTGACAATTCATAACTGGAGATTCTATATTAAAATGCAGATTTCCCATTTCTCTGGAAGAATGTTAAGATGTGAAAACAGTTAAGTCCACATTCCTGTGGACATTCCATGGGCTGAAACCCTTGAGAATAGGGCGAGTGTCCTGGGGTTCATCAAAAGTCTCCCCAACCCAGAGCCTCAGGGCTAGCTGCCTTCATTACCATGTTCAGTGTGGAGCTTCTTTCTACCCATGCTTCTCTAAGATACAACAAGAAAGAACAAAGAGTAAAGGCCGTGTTTCAAGAAAAATGAGAGTACACCCATTTCCTTGTGGAAACAGAGTTCTTAAAGGTTTTAATATGCAACCAAACTGTCTGGATAGAAAGAATTCAATTTAAGTCACCCTTGCTTTTGTTACACTCAGCCAGCATCCCTCATTTGTAACACCTCTCTGAATCCACATAGGCATGGGATGAGCAACTACCAGAAGAAATAATATAGTAGCCAACATTTTTGTAGCACTTACTGTTTCAGGCGCTGTCCTAAACCCTTTATGTATGGTGGTTCATTTATCCTCACAAGAACCTGAGGTAGGTCCTATCATTATGGTCGTGTTACCGGTAAGGAAACCAAGCCACGGAGGGATTGGGTACCTTGCGTAAAGCCACAGGGCTAGTGAGTGGCAGAGCTGGGAAATAACGAGACCAGCTCTCAGCATCAAGGCTCCAATGTGCAACACGACCGTTCAACGGGTGGACCTTTAAGAAGTGGGACTGCTCTGGGGAGAGAATATGCTTGTTTCCCTTATATGTTCCTCTAATATTTGAGCCTTAAGTAATGTGAATATCTGGTTTTGATAGAAAAATGTTTCAATTAAAATTCTTGAGAAAGAAAAAAACTGTTGTAGGAAGTTGTGATTCATCTCAGAGGCATTTGAACAGAACTCTGAAGGATTTCTGGCCACCTCTGCCCACTTCTAGGAACGACCTCCAGCTGGCCTTTGGGGAACACTTTTCTCATTTTTTGGGTCCCTAACAGCAAGAATCCCAATGGGTTACTCAGTTAAAAATTAAAACTTGCTCCACTGCGATGAAACGCCACGCAGCTCTCTTTGACTCTGTGATGCTCACCAGGTAGGGCCAGACAGGTGTGGCCCCGATGGGAGCGCCCCTGGGTCCCAGGGGGCCCCTGTACCCTCTCCCACCTGGGGCTGACCTGTGCTCTTGTCCAGGAAGTCTATGGACTCCTCACTCGCGCTGAAGTGGCTGGACGTGGCCTTCTTCTCGGCGTCCTGCTCCACGTCGGAGCCTGTGTGCACGGAGGAGTTGGTGCTCATGGGGGAGCGTGGCATGTCCGACAAGGAGATCCTGCGGCCTGTGCCCCCGCTCAGCATTGGCTTGCTCATCAGGATCTTGGGCGATGCCGTCATGTCAAAGTTGAGCTTGACCTTCTCCTGCTTGTCTATCTTGGCAGCACCAGCGCTGGGGTTGGAGGGGTCGAGCAGCATTTGGTACTGGCTGTTGGGCGTGTAAGGCGTCCTGAATGGAGAGTAATTAAAGACCCCAAACTTCCGGCGGATGTTCTCCACGTAAACCTCCATCTCTTGCATTGCACTGTTGAAGATGCTTTTGGTCTTTTTCACAGAAAAAGGAATCTCTTTAGACATGAGGTAGCAATTATTTATTGGAACCCAGGCCCTGGGAGTGCAAAAGAGAAAGGGAGTTTAAGTCAACTGTGCTCATTTCCAAGATTCTTAAGTTTTTTACAAATTTATTGTGCAAGAACACTTAACATGAGTTCTACCCTCTGAAGAAACGTTTAAGTGAATCACACATAACTGCCGTATCAACTGAAAAACAAAGCACAACCTACAAGTTGAGAATTATTTATTTGGCGGACAAAACCGAGGACTTGGACTTCCCTGGTGGCGCAGTGGTTAAGCGCCGCAACTATTGAGCCTGTGCTCTAGAGCCCGGGAGCCGTAACTACTGAAGCCTGCGCACCTAGAGCCCGTGTTCCACAACAGAGAAGCCACTGCAATGAGAAGCCCACACACCGCAACGAAGAGCAGCCCCTGCTCACCGCAACTAGAGAAAGCCTGCATGCAGCAACAAAGACACAACGCAGCCAAAGATAATAATTGATTAATTTTTTTTTTTTTTTTTAAAAAAAAAGGACTTAAGCCTGGACGAAGCCTCTCAGATCACGCTGAGGGACTGCTCCCAAGAGGTCAGGGAGGAGCCAGTATATACAGGAGATTTTGCAACAAAGACCAGGTAGTGGGAACTTCAAAGATTATTGTTAATTAAAGAAAACCAAGCATCTCAAGTGAAAGAATTTAGCATTTTTTTCCATGTGTGGGAAGATGTAAGCATCAGGGCTCACTGACATCACTCCTTTGATATGCACTTTAGCTATCAAGGACAGGATCCTGTGCTTTCCCATCCCAAGTGTCCTCAGGGTGCACCGCTTAGGGTGGCTACAGTGGCTGAGGGCGGGGCAGCGGGCTGCCTGTTTGTCTTCAGCCTGAGTTCCCTCAGGGCTCACCATCCAGGGCACTTTTACTGGCTTGATGGCTGCAACATCCTTTGTTTACTGAGAGGGCAGGCAACACTTTTTTCCAACAGCTGATTATAGGTATATGTTGGTACAGCAGCTCTCTAGAGCTTATTCATTTTGTTTAACTGAAACTTTACACCTGTTGATCAGTACTCCCCATTTCTCCCTGCCCCCAGCCCCTGGCAACCACCGTTCCACTCTTTGATTGTATGAATTTGACTATTTTAGATAGCTCGTACAAATGGAGTCATGTGGTATCTGTGTTTCTGGGACTGGCGTATTACCCCACTTAGCCTGAAGTCCTCCAGGTTCGGCCATGAGGCCACATACTTCTTAAGGCTGAACGTTATTCCACTGTATGTACAGACCACACTTTCTCTATCCATTCATCTCTCTCGATGGTCATTTAGGTTGTTTCCAGAATTGCTTTTTTTCCTTAATGCAAACCAAATTAGCCTAGTGGATTTTCCAAGACTCTTAAATACATATTCCTTTTTTTTCAAATGACTTGGTTTGAGTGGTTAGTTAACGACCCACTCGACAGGCACGTTCTGTCACAAGGACCACACGTGAACACGAAACTTAGCTACGACATTAAAAGGCTCGATAGCTTAGTCATTTTAATCCATTAAAACAGTAATAAATCCCCTTTGGCTCTGGGCTGGTAGCGAGTAAGAAAACAGTCTGCATCCTAGACTACACCTCTGAAAAGAGAATTATCCCCCAAATCTCATTCTCCTGCACTCAGACATAAAGCACCTTCTTTTCTCTTTTAAAACCGCCCCTGGAAGTGGTAGCAAAGGTTCCACAGAAAAAATAAAACTTGCTGATGACGACGGTGATGAAAACGATGATGGTGACGACTTTGATGATGACGAAGCTGAAGAAAGAGCTCCAGTAAAGAAACCTGTACGGATACTCCAGCCAAAAATGCACAAAAATCAAACCAGAATGGAAAAGCCTCAAAACCATCAACACCAAAATCAAAAGGTCAAGAATCCTTCAAAAAACAGAAAAAAAAAAAAACCTCCTAAAACACCGAAAAGGACCTAGCTCTGTAGAAGACATTAACGCAAAAATGCAAGCAAGTATAGAAAAAGGTGGTTCCCTTCCCAAAGTGGAAGCCAAATTCATCAATTATGTGAATAACTGTTTCCGATGACTGACCAGGAGGCTATTCAAGATCTCTGGCAGTGGGAAGTCTCTTTAAGAAAATAGTTTGAGCCGTTCGTTAAACTTTTCTGTCTTAGTTCATTTCTGTAACAGTTGATATCTGGCTCCTTTTTACAACGCAGAGTGAGCACTTTCCCTACCGTGTCCAATAAATGTTGTCCAGGTTCCATTGCCAAGAATGTGTTGTCCAAAATGCCTGTTTAGTTTTTAAAGATGGAACTCCACCCTTGGCTTGGTTTTAAGTATGTATGGAATGTTATGATAGAACATAGTAGTAGTGGTGGTCAGACAAATGGAGATGGTGAGGAGACAAAAATATACATGTGAAATAAACTCAGCATTTTAACACAGTAAAAAAAGCTTTTTTTTTAAGCTCTGCAGGCATTTGATAAAATATTTTCTACATTTGTATATAATAGTGTCTGTGAAATAAAACTGAAAAAAAAAAAAAAAAGGCAAAATCTTTTAAAGGACAAAAAGCCCATGATAAGACTCTTCAGAACATGCCTTGATTTGTGCAAAAGCCTCCAGGGGCTCTCTCTCTCTAACATTTATGAACTTGACAATGGGGGAATTCGCTGGCGATCCACGGGTTAGGACTCCCGGCTTTCACTGCCAAGGGCCCAGGTTCAATCCCCGGCTGGGGAACTAAGATCCCATAAGCCACACAGAGCGGCCAAAAAAAAACATGACAATGAACATGCAGCGGTCTGTGCTATTTCTTATTCTGCTGCCCTGCCTTATTTTGCTTACCCCTGGTCCAGGCTTATGTTTTGGCTCTGCAACCTCGAAGCGAGCTCCCCGAGAAGGGACAGCACATCACAACCCTTGCAGCCTCCCCTGAGTCTGTAACCTGTTTCTGGGTTGGACCCAGAGCAGGCTGTCCACAAGCCTGCCCCATTCTGCTTTAAAAACATCCTGGGAAGGAAGGGACGTCCATCCTTTTAGAAGTGGCTTCCACTACAGCTGTCAGGGACTCCCTGCCCAAGGCCAACTGAAACCTCCCTACAACTCCTACCTACTGTCCCTCCACCACCGGGATATCCTTAACGACTCCCCCAATGTGCACCCTGCACCCAAAATGAGCCCGACAGGTCCCCTCCAAGGGGACAGGAGACACCACGGAGGGAGGGTTAAGGAAATCTCGTGGGGCATCAGACTTGGGCAGCTGTCTATTTTACAAATGTAGGGGGACCGGCTTCCAGGACAGCTCCCACCCAGAACCAACCTACACCTGCAAGTTCAAGGGAAACAGCCTCTGGAAACAGGGCCGGTGAAGCTCATGGCCCCTAAGCCACCTTCAATGGCTGTCAGGCAGGCAGGATTAAGAGGTCCATGCAGAGTGGGCACAGCTGGAGCAGAATCCACGACTCTTAAGGCTCTGGGAATATTTGGTGCTTGGGGGACAGCAATGCTTGCCCCCCGCCATGGATATCCTAAGTATTATCCACACTGAGTTACACCATAGAATAATCCCGAATCATCGAGATGGTTCACTAACACTTGCCATGCTCTAATGAAGACGCAGCAAGATGTACAACCTGCTATATCTCTTGCTCTTCAAGTAAAAGCCAGACTTCTGACCAAAGCCACCCTGGTGACCCAGACCCAGCCCAGCCCTCTGATCCCACCTCTTACCCACCTTCTCCTCCCTTATCCTGTTCAAACCACGCTGTGTTCCTGGATTTCCCTGAGCAATTAACTCAGCCTTGGCCTGCCCTTTCCCTACCTGACTCCCTGCTCTCTCTGGTCCCTCTACCCAGATCTTCACCCGGTCCCGCCACTACCTCCTGACCTGAGATCATACTGTCTATTCCCCACTTGTATGTCATCTGCCTTCCCCATTTGTGACGGGCAGTGTCTGCCTGCTCGCTCCTGTATCCCAGCATCTAGTACTCAGCATGCCACATGGCAGGCACCAAAGACATGTTTCTTTGAATGAATGAATAAAGGAATTTTAGAAAAACTTCCCCCAAAATGGTCAAAATCAAAGTATAATACTTCCTATCAAACCTAGAACCATCTCAGCTGATTTCCGTTTTGTCTCCTATCAATGGATTGCCAGGATTCCTGGTAAATGATTTCAGATTACTTTGATATTCTTTTTTTTTTTTGGCAAGATGACAAGCAAAATTTAACAAAGAGCAATATTTCAAATTCTGGTGTTGTTTAAAATGAGGAAGTGTATTTTCTGTACATTCTGTGGGTGGGTATAATTTTCAAACTATGTCTGTTAAATATTCTCCCCTACACACACACACACGAGTGCTTTCTCAGACTGCTTGGTAGGGTTTCGGGAGGGTTTTTGCCTCATTTACTCACAATGTAACTCTTGCTAAAAGAGAACCAAGAAATTACCCGCCGCTCATCTCTGTCTACCTGTTGTTCTGAAGCACGCAGGGGGCTGCGCTCCACAGAGAAGTGCTATTAGCTGGAATAATTCACGTCGCTGAGAGAGGGAGAGGGGAGGGCACGAAGGCTGGCAGGGAGGACTCACACCTGTCAAAACAGCAAGCCCTTATAATTTCCCATTTTAGCTCCACAGAAAAGGGACTACCCAGCACAACGATGGGAGATTCATTTTACCGGCAATCTGGGGAAATGCTTCTGATCCCTGAAAGCATTATTTTGAAAAGCAATCTGTGCGGTGATTTAATTTACCGCGGAAAAACCCAGAAAAGAACAGCAGCACTTAAAAGAGCCGTGGAACCTATGCCGACGCCGGCTGCGTCCACAAAACCACGAAAGCAAGATTCTTTTCCAACACACCTGAGCACACTGAAGCCTGTGTGTGATCAGGCTCATTAACACAGCCCAGGACAGGATTTTTAAAGTACATCACTGGCTGGTATCAAGACAATAAAATAATAGCCGTACCCACCGCCCCTTCTTGTATTCACTGACAGGATCAAAGGTTCAGTCACAGCTACGCGTTTGAAGCCTGTGTTTAACTCCCACCTGTCGTGTTGTCCAAAGAAACGGGCATCAACCTGCCCATCTTTATCCCTCAGAGCTTTCGCAGGCCAGAATGGAAACCCCTTCAGTTTTGCCCAAACCAAAGGATGTGGATTGCTCTAGGAAAAGAAAAACAAAAGCCAGAGTTTGTATGTATTCGACAGCAAGATGCACACATAAAAGCTCGGTGGGTGAGGTGAAGCTAAGGCAGAGTTGATACAGGCCACAGAATGAAAGCAAACAACTTCCAGCAGGGTCTCCCCAAGTGGCAGTCACTACACATGTGGCCATTCCCCGGGCAAGGCTGGGAATGGGGTTAAATGGGGAAACCCAAAAAGAAGCGAGCACTGACCAAAATGAGGCTTCAACTCTGGCTGTGCCGCCCTTGCCCGGGTGGGAGCAAACAAGAGACTGTACCTTTCCGGGCAACACAGGGACAGTTATACCTACACCCTCTGTTAAGCTGGAGGGTTAAAGGCACCTTACATCCAGCATATAATAAGGGACGGCATTAGCTAACTTTATTCTTTACCGAGAGCTACTCAGGGCCTTAACGATTCAGATGTCCATCTCGAAATGCAGGAAAAGACAAACTATGTTTGCATTCTCAACTCTACTTGCCCAATCTTGCGGCCCAATACCCTCCCCCCGCACCCCCATCCTCCCAGCTCACCCCAACGACACACTTCTCTACAGAACAGCAGTTTGGAAAATACAGATCCATGGGGACAACTGGGGTGACTTTCTCTCCCCACCCCAATCCCAGCCTCAAGAACCACGGTTTGGAGAGACCATGGAGTTAACCCTGGGAGGGATTTCCAAACCTCTTAAAATAGACCCAACATGATTTGTAAGTAACACACTCATTTAACACGACTCGGCTCATCACCTGCACGACTTTGGCATGTCTCTCCTCTCTGATGAGCTTCTTTGCACTCTGCAACCTGCTGTTTTCGAGGGCTAATAAACCCAGCAAATTGTGACGCTACCTCTGGCACATGACCTTTCAGCCAAAGAGGTTTATCCCACCTGGATTACTCCCATTCTGCCATAACTTACTTTTCAGTAAGAAAATTATTTTAAAACTTTATCCAAAGTTTCATCCAGTAAGCCACCTGCAGAAAGCTGTCCTGGGTCACCCAAGGCATAGAGTTCAGAAAACAAAGAAAGGAAAGGAAATCCAACTTACACAAGGCTCACAAAACCAGTTATCTCGTTTTTGGCAAGCAGCTAGATAACACTCTGGACAAACTTCGATTTCATTCATCTGTAAAGCAAAAATGTGTTAGAATGTGTCATTCCCAGGGGTCTTATATCTGCAGGCCCTCAAGAAATGCATGATGATATTGGCAGGTAAGATTAGCTAACCTAAGTCCCACAGTGGGGAACACCCTGGACATCAGTCCAACTATTTCTCACCAGCCCCGACTCGCCCACCTAGCCCCAGCCGCCATCCTCTCTCGCTGGACCATGTCTCCCAGCTTCCTAAGCTTGGTCCATTCCCCACACAGACAGAGCAGCCAGAGCCACCTTCTACAAACACAGGTCCCATCTGGTCCCTCTCCTTAGACCAGTGGTTCTCTACTGGGACAGTTTAACCCTTCCAGGGACACTTGGCATAACTGGAGATATTTTCGGTCATCGGTCATCACAACTGGGGGTGGACAGTTGAGACTGGAGTCTATGATGGTACAAGGACAGCTCCTGCAACAAAGATGTCTCTGGCCTCAAATGTCAGTAGTGCCAAGGTTGAGAAACTAACAATGAAATCTAAACACCTGGTCAGGGTTTCCCCAGTGGCGCAGTGGTTGCGAATCCGCCTGCCAATGCAGGGGACGTGGGTTCAAGCCCTGGTCCAGGAGGATCCCACATGCCATGGAGCAACTAAGCCCGTGTACCACAACTGCTGAGCCTGCACTCTAGAGCCCACAAGCCACAACTACTGAGCCTGAGTGCCACAACTACTGAAGCCCGCACGCCTAGAGCCCGTGCTCCGCAACAAGGGAAGCCACAGCAATGAGAAGCCCACGCGCCGCAAGGAAGAGTAGCCCCCACTCGCCGCAACTAGAGAAAGCCCACGCGCAGCAACGAAGACCCAATGCAGTCAAAAATAAATAAATTTAGATAAATAAATAAGCACCTGGTCAGTTCCTTCAAGGCCATGCATGGTCTGGCCTCAGTCTACCTGTCTGAGCTCCCCAATCCCTTCCCTCGACTCTGGCCTCTGCTTGCCATGCTCAGTTCTATATATCTCTAATCACACCATCCACAGCAATTAATTAATACCACGTTTACTCTATTTTATTTCCACGGATAACTGAAAATTCTGTAACTGACCGTCCTCTCTCCTGAGAAAGTGCATTCCCCCCAGAGAATCGTCATGACTTAGAACTAAGGGCCCTGGAAGCTCACTTCTTGGATCTAAATTCAGACTCCACTACATCCTAGCTCTAGAACTTTAGGAAAAGTTGCTTATACTGTCTGAGCGTCCATTTCCTCACCTCATAGAATGGGGATGAAAGCAGTACCTACCAAACAGAATAATTATAAAAATTAGATGAGATAAATGTAAAGCACTTCAAGTGACAAGGTGCCAGACACATAGCAGGTGCTCAACTAATGATTATTAATTAATAATTTTATAGTAATTACTAATTATAATGGACTGACCAATTGAGGGCAATGAATAAATGAGTAAATGAATGAATGAGTGAACGGTGGACCATATTTCTTCCTTCTACCCACTCTCCTTCTGGGCTATTCCAAAGGTACTGGGTAGAACAAAGCGGCAACATCAAGTCCAGGACGGCCCTGGCATTGGAGCCCACAAAGCAGCACTGTGTTGCCAACAGGTAGGTTCAGAATTGCCAGACAAAGAGCATCTGGGTTCAATAAATTCTACATTATGACCACCCACCAATTAAAAGTCTAGGCTTCAGCACCTACATCAAGGGAAACAAATCCTCAAGGGGGAAACAACTGAACAACTCGCCCAGAGACAACTCCAAGTCGCCAACAAGCATATCAAAAAACAGTCCATCACCACTTGCATCAAAGAAATCAAAATCACAATCACAGTGAGGTGCCACTGTTTTTTACTGATCACACTGGGGCAAAAACATATATACAAACAGTTTTCAAATTGGAACTTCCAGCATTGCCAACGACACAGAAAAAACACTACATTTGTTCATACCAGTTCACTGTATAAGTAACACTGTAGCATTTCCAGAAAACAATCAAGAGATATCTACCCAAAGCCATGTTGATAGCCTCAGACCTAGTAGTTGCATTTCTAACAATTATACTAAGGAAATAAATCACCAGAACAGCCATGATAAATCCTATTCTTCCTCAATGTTTAATTACCTAGGAAAACACTCAGAGTGAAAAATGTACATTATAAAACTCTCTCTATACAAATATATAGACATGGACATATCCTAAGATATCCAAATGTTTTCTTTACAAATGAACGGATGGATAGATGAGAGTGCAGACAGGCTGAAGGCCATTACATCTCAGTTTTTTGTGCTCACAACAGGGATCTAACAAAGAAAGGCTCCCCTGTACCATTTCTGCCATCAGCCTGTCCTGCAACCACTAGAGCCTCAGGGCACCCAGCCCAGGTGCTTCATTTCATCCACACCATCAAAACTAGGGGGTATTTTTCCAGGACACCTGAGCCACTCTCAGAGAAACTCAGGACCTTTCCTGCAAATAATGTCAAAAGCCAAATACCTTCTGCAAGAAGACTGAAAGGGACGTGAGGGGATGCCACAGATTGTGGGGCAAAGCAATCATAAACTCTATTTGACCCTGAAAACTCAGGATGTGCAGTGCTGGACCACGACTCAAGGCTGAAAACTCCCATCTCTCTTAGATCTAAGATTAGGGTGTTGATTTATAACATATTATGACATATCTGTTGCTTTTACTTTCCTTGAAGAGAGGGGCGCTATCTCTACCTCAACAAATTCCAAAATTACCAGAGCTACCCACTGGGAGATTCCGCAAATGGAAACTTCAATCACCCCACGCCTTCATTCTAGGTACACTTAAAAGGGGACAGCAGGAAACACATACCTCATGCTCACAGATTTTGATGACTACTTTCGCTATTTGCGTCAATTTGTGATTTCCTGAGGGAATAAGAAAATAGGATTAATTCAAATGGAAACACAGAAATACCCAGCCTTGGGATTATACCTCCACTTACAACATTTTAACTTGCTTTCTTCCAGGATTAACCTTTTAAACGTTTAAAAACCATACATTTCTGGCTTCTAACATCAGTTCAGATTAGGTGACTTTTCCCATGAACCAATCTTTGGTGCTTAGATGTCATCTTCTCTGAAACATAACGATTTGTGTTGGTTTCCGACAGCTCATGAATTAATATTTGAAAGATGCTTTTATATTCTCAAGGCTCAAATTAGTGAAAAGGAGCCTTCTTCTGCCCATTGTCCCAGACGCCAACCCAAGAATAGTACAGGAGAAAGAAGACATTTAATTGAGTAACTCTACTGTTCCTGGTGCTCTGAAATACATTTTCTTGTTAACTCTTCAAAAAGCCTTATTAGGAAGCAGGCATGAATGTTCTCATTTCACCAAAGAGTAAACCAAGGCTCAGGAGTCATCACTTATATGAGATCATTTAGCTAACGAGTTGAGGATATGGCCCCAGGTCTAACTCTTAACCCTGAACCTTTACACGAAACCAGAGAACAAGATGGCCAAAAAGCCGCGTTTTCTTAGAACCTTATGACAATTTTTAGAAATTGTAAATTTGGTGGCAAAAAGATTTCATACGCACACACACAAATACCTAGATTTCTGGCCTGTCTTGAAAACTCAGAAGAGCTAAGAACTCTGTATCCAATAAACCACTGGAGTGTCCAGGGGAGATACCCCTCCAGACCAGGCAGGAGTTCCCTTTCTCCGCAGTCACTCGCTCTCGCCATGGCCAGTGGTCACCCTGGCTTATGTTATTTTTCTGCTACCTGAGCTCATTCTTGTTTATACGATCTTACTGCCCTTTCTATATATTTGAGTTTATAACCTTTACACAAATTCTCAATGTCCAGGGTACCTCTCTTTCTCTCCTCCCTGCACCCCAACCCTGCTACTGAGTTAATAATGCAAAACATGTACTTTAAGCAGATAGCCATCCATTCATATATCTTTGCTCAAACATCAGCTAACAACAGTCTACGCTAGGCCCAAGGGTATACAGGAAACAAGTTTGGCATCTGCCCTTAAAGGGCTTACATCCTGGTGGGCAACTCAAATGAAAAAAAAGCACCATCCAGAAAGTGTGATAAAATACTGCCACGGGGAAGTACAGGTACTGTGAGAGCCCTTAACAAGAGTACATAGTATGGTCTGGGTCATGAAGGAAGGCTCCTCAGAGGACTGAGAGGCTGAGACTGAAGGATAAGGAAAACTCATCAAAGCAAAGAGGGGAAGAGTGTTCCAGCAGGGGACAAGAAGAAGATAACAGGGCAGGACCCTGAAAGATCTACCTGGCCAGAAGGTAGACAGAAAGGATTGTGGGAGAGCGTAGGACAATGGGAAAGGTGCCCATCGAGGAGATTTTAATGGGAGCTCTCCTCCATTCTGTCCAGAAGGCTTAACCCACAAAAATGCAACTGACAAAACTTTAACCAGAATATAAAGAACTCCTAAAACTCAGTAATAAAAAACAAACAACCCGATTTTTGAAATGAGCAAAAGATCTGAATAGATGTTTCACCAACAAATAATATACAAATGACTAATAAGCACATGAAAAGATACTCAATACCATTAGTCATTAGAGACAGGCAAAACCACCATGACATAATATTTCATGCCTTCAAGAATAGGCAAAATTAAAAACAGATAATACCAAATGTTGACAATGATGTGGAGCAACAAAGATTCTCATATACTCTGCTAGAAGGAATGTAAAATAATACAACCAATTTTGCAAAACAGTTTGGTAAAATGTCTTATAAATTTAAATATAAACCTACTCAATGATCTAGCAATACCAGTCTTGGGTATTTATCCAAGAGAAATGAAAGCATGTGTCCATACAAAGACTTGTATAAGAATGTTCACAGTGGCTTTATTCACAACAGCCAAAAACTGAAAACAATCCAAATATCCATCAACATCAACAAAGGGAATGGATGAATAAATTGTATGTTGATACAATATTGTTACCGGACTTCCCTGGTGGCGCAGTGGTTAAGAATCCGCCTGCCAATGCAGGAGACACGGGTTTGAGCCCTGGTCCGGGAAGATCCCACATGCCGCGGAGCAACTAAGCCCGTGCGCCACAACTACTGAGCCTGCGCTCTAGAGACCGCGAGCCACAACTACTGAGCCCGCATGCCACAACTACTGAAGGCCACGCGCCTAGAGTCCGTGCTCCACAACCAGAGAAGCCGCCGCAATGAGAAGCCCGCGCACCGCAACGAAGAGTAGCCCCCGCTCGCCACAACTACAGAAAGCCCGTGCGCAGCAACAGACATAGCGCAGCCAAAAATAAATAAATAAAATAATTTATAAAAACTATATATATATTGATACCACTCAGTGATAAAAAGAAACAAACCACTGATAGACACAACATGAATGAATCCCCAAAATATTACACTGTGTCATCGTAGGCAGGCATAAAAGAGGGCACTCTGGCTCCAGTGGTATGAAATTCTAGAACATGTAAAACTAATCTCTAGTTACAGAAAACAGAATAGTTCCTTTTCAGGAGGGTGGATTTACTGGAGGGGCAATTGGGAATATAATGGGGTGACAGAAATGTTCTAAGATCTTATTTGGGGTTGTAGTTACAGAGGTGGTTACACATTTGTCAAATTCATGGAATGTACCTGTAAAATCTGTGCTTTTTATTTTATGTAATTATTCCTCCATTAAAATAAGGTTTTTTTTTAAAGGACAGGTAAAAGCATCATATAGTCACAAGCCACTGTGGACATCAGCTCATACCTTAAAATGCATGTAGTCACTGCCCCCTGTTCACACACGTCAGCAATCTATACACCAGTATTCTCAGCTATTGGCCCTGATACATGAAAAAAGAGCCTGATATTTTATGAAGGGCAGGAGAACGGGCAACACACACAGCATACTCTCACTCTTAAGAGTCATCTAATCCACTCACCCCCATTATAAATGATGCAGTTGTGCAAAATCCATTTTGCATCAGCCAGGAAGGCTTCTGTGCAGCCATACATTTTCTTCTTAGCGTTCTGGGAAGAAAAGCCACAGAAAATAATAACCAGTGAGTCTCTATAAGCCACAACCAGTAACACCTGCGTCCCCACATAATTTTCTTCGCAGTCATTTGCCAAATTAATTAATGCTTCTACTCATTTCCCAAGATGCTATTATAGTTGAGATCTATAACTCTATAAAAATGCACTCACCGAATTCACCACACTAACTTGAATTTTCTCATCTTAGAGCACTGCCATTTATCAAGCAGCTTCTTCCGCCAAACCAGGATATTTTACATATTTACACATTTATTATTAATTGTACAGCCTCACATAAGCCTCATAATTGAAAACTCAAGGAAGCAGTCACTATCCCCATTTTACAGACAGGGAAACTGAGGTATGGTAATGTTAAAGGAACTAATCAAAGTTCCAAAGCTAATAATTTAGGAAGCCAGGATTCCAACCTTGTCTTTTTGGAATTCCTTCTTTTGTTTAATACCGTAAGGGTGTGTGCAATTTTCCAAAGCAGGCTGGATTTACTGTTTTGGGGATCATCGATGCATACAATATAAAGTAATGTTTTCTCCTCACCCACGCTTTTCTTTAACCATATTTTGGTGCCGGCAATTTGAAAATCAGCACCAGGATGACATACACAACCTAAAATGTTACATGTGTAATTTTTCAGCATGGAATTTTAGTTTGAACCTTTAAAAACACTTTCAGGCATTAAAGAAATACTCTTATCAGTGAAATAAGTCAAGATCTAAGAAGCCACTTATTCACTGCTAACATGAAGGTCTCCCAGACACTTAATTTTCTCTTCTTCCTTCCTGCTGCTCTTATTAGCACCTCCAAAAGAAAGAGAAGGGTAAGGCTCAAATCAACCAAATCACTAATTCTTAGAAGCTGTGACTTTCTCATATAAAAAGCTAGAATCACCAGCAGAAGTATACTACTATTTGGAGCTAAGCAGTGGATTTCAACACCCACTGCAATCCTTGGGAAAATGTTACAGAAGTTAGGGGAATGAGAGTTCTTCCATCCAAATAAAAATGGCACAGAACCATCTAACTCGAGATGGGGCACGGGAAGTGAGGGAGGATCTTTAATCATCTTGACAATTGGCTTTTCTGATGGAAGCCAACCTTTTCCAATGTACAAAGGTCCATGGGATGGAAGATGTATTCCGCATAGTCGGGATGCTGTTCCAACGGAACGGGCTTCTGGAATGCATCTGTCTATAAAAGAAAAGATGCACATACACAGACACAAACCCATCACTGCTATGGAAGACCAAGCATTAATACCAGCAATGTACTTTAAAACCGAGACAACTTTCCAGAAAATACAGTTCTAAAACTTTCTACAAAATAGGCCCTTGAGAAGCTCCAAACTGGTTCACCTTCAAATTCTGCCCGGTTATCCATAATCATGGGCCCAGCTGTGTTCCAGTTTTGTCATTTGTTTTGTTTTCAGTACAGACTCAAGTAACAGGTCCAGGCCTCTTCAATTAAGACGGACAAGAACACGCTATCATTACTTGAGACCTGAATTCTGAAGGAGGCTTATCTATACACTGAAAATGCCCATAATCAAAACTGACTGGGGGTGAAATCTGGCTACACCTAGAGATGACACACCAAATAAAGTTCCCCTAAAGTGCCAACAGATATCTTACACATGGGTGGAAATTTTAGTGAGGTTTTGCTCCTCCTTTGAGGGGCCAAATTACTTTCAAAACAGGGACTGTGTGGGGACTTCCCTGGCGGTCCAGTGGTTAAGACTCTGCGCTTCCAATGCAGTGGACACGCATTCGATCCCTGGTCAGGGAACTAAGATCCCACAGGCCACGTGTCACAGCAAAAAAAAAAACCAGAAACAAAACAAAGCAGGGACTGTGTAAAGGTTTTGTATCTTGATCCACTTTCTTATGGAGTAATAAGAATCAGCTCAAAATGCAAGGCCTGGTTTGTTGATGGGTACTATTTGCTTATCAATAAAAAAAAAATCTAAAAGATTTCATTCAACACCAAATTATGCTCAAGCAAGGCATCTGAACGGATTACCATTTGCAGTCATCCAAGCTCTCTCTCATCCAGAATCAGTTTGGCCATTTTAAGTTAAAAGGATGCTTCCACAAAAATCAGCAACTTTCTGTTCTGATTTTGTAACAAACAATTTACATAAGAAATTCACACCTTCTTTGATTTTTCTTTTTGTTTTATAATTAATTCCACAGTGTTGACAAATCTACATGAATCAATTCTCCTTGTCAAAGTTTGTTTTTCTGCAAAACTTAGGCTATATACTTTTGCTTCCATTGACAGAGATTTTGTGAAAGAGACAGGTTCTCAATTTAGCAACCCCCAACTGGCATGCTCTGAATTTTTTTCATCATGATATCAAATTTCAGAATATAATCTCAAAACTAAAGCTTCTACCTTTTTTAAAGAAATTAAACCACAATGGCTACTAAAAGCACTCAGAATCTACATTTCATACATTTATTTGACTTAGAAAGCAAACTCTGAAGAGTTTCACAAAGGGTCACCACTAGCCCATATGGTGCCTTTGTGTAAATCAGAAAAGAACCCTACCCAAGAACCCAAGTTTCCATAGGAAAAATGTCATAACATGTTGATTATCTTGTCATAACATTTTGTTTTGTTTTGTTTTGTTTTTTGGCGGTATGCGGGCCTCTCACTGTTGTGGCCTCTCCCGTTGCAGAGCACCGGCTCCAGACGCACAGGCTCAGCGGCCATGGCTCACGGGCCCAGCCGCTCCGCGGCATGTGGAATCTTCCCAGACCAGGGCACGAACCCGTGTCCCCCGCATCGGCAGGCGGACTCTCAACCACTGCGCCACCAGGGAAGCCCATAACATATTATCTTTAAAAACAAGGTATTTTACTGCCATCTTTCTGAAACCTGTCACAAAAAACTACAAAACCACCGTCACAGCTATGATATGACTGGGACTTCTGGGAGGGAAACCACGGAGAAGTACACCGCTTGCCAGCTGAACGCGGCAGGCCTGCTTTCGCAGACAGATTTTCCTTAAAGGGCAAAGGCTGTACATCAAATCCCGTTTCAAAATTCTCACCCTTTACGGAAATCTCACTGGTGGACTTTTACCTGAAGGTTCCACCATTAGGCCTTGATTACAAAGAAACTGGGTTGTACTCAGCTCTCTCACTGAAATGGAATTCTACTGACTCCCCCTTACCCGATGCGGTCTGAGGTTTCACTTCTCAACCACTCAGAATTTTAAATCCCCACCAGCTTTCTAATATATGTCATTTCCTGATTAAACTCCTTGGTCTCACAAAGTGCTCACTTTTGAGAATTAACTTAATGCCGTTGTCAAATTTAATTTACAGGTATCTCAATGTGGGCACACAAGACCCAAAGAGTAATAAGCACAGGTGTCTGAAAAGCTCAGGCAACTACAAGGAACAAAAATGTTAACAGAACAAAGGTCACTATTGTCATTCACACTTATAACAAGAGGAAGTGTCATCTTACCCCTGGCTGTTTCATTTTCTGAATGGCAAACTTGAGCAGGTAGGATAACTGTTCAATGGTGAGCATTGTCATGGCTTTACTCTGAGTCTCGATGCATTCTGCTACTGTAATCTTCTACAAATCAAAATCACACAAATATCCAGTTAGAAAAAGAAAAATTACGATCCCATGTACTCATTTCCCTTTCCTCCTAATTTTCCAGTAAGTTCACACGCAAAAAATAATTCCCATCTACATGAGACCAGTTGTTTCGCTTGACGAGCACTCCAATCTACTTGACATGGGTGCTGGATCAGTGAATAAAAATTAAGAAGCACACCGATCCATCGATTAACTAAGAACCGTTTTTAGCTCATGTAGACAATATAATCTGAAAAAAAGGGTGGGGTAGGCAAGGACCTGAAAAATCGGTCATTGCTATAACCTTGGGTTTCAAGAATAGGACATGAAAGGCCACTGATGGTTTCAGGGTAATCTCTTCACACAATGAATCAGCCACTTTCCTTGATCCTCTTAAGGTTCTGGGCTGTCTTTCAGGAAACTGACAAGGAATTAATTCAATGACATCACGGTTGGAAAGTGACAATCTTTCCTGCAGAAAGAATCCAAGGGATGGTAGTGAAGTAATAACAAAAATGACTTCATTCTCCGTCACCACTGATGTGAACCCACTCAGGACCTTCTGGCAAATTACCCACAGAGCAGTCTAGCTGTCTATCTCTGTAGGAAATAAATGTCACTTTGTAAGAGAAATTCCCATCAAAGACATGTCTGATACCAGATTCTGCTATGTAAATCTGGTACTTGATCTAAGAGCTTCGGAATCCTCAGGTAGCAGGAACAACAAAAATGGTAAATTCAGATGCTATCAGGAAACACTCTTGAACCATCTGTGTAGGGAGAGCTGAGAAAAGTTTTCTCCAATTAATCTGGATTTCATTTCCATTCTTCAGATCTCCGGATCCTCCAAAAGGAACTTCCAGGCGTGTCTGGTTGGTTGTTGAGAAAAAGGGCAACGCAACAGGTGCTCATAAGCTGAAATCAGTCCGTGACGCACGGATCTCATTGCTTAGCTACCAGAGCCGAAAAGGCTAGTCTTCCCAGTTGACCACCGCACCAATTCACCACTAGAAGAAATTCAGGACTCTAAATTTTAGACATAGAACACCTGTCTGTCTGAATTCCAGTTCATTTCCAGGTAACTATCCACACTCAATACTTGGGTCGCCCGCTCAACTGTCATTCACCTCTTCTCCCCCAGCCCTGGCCACGTCCTCCTGGTTGGCAATGGCCGGTTCCCACGATACAGACTGAAAGTACCAAACAAACATTTTTGAGCCTTTTCTGCATGGGGACTGGTGGTCCAATCCTGACCAATGAGCTCAAGGGCGTGTCAGCTGGAGGCTGATGGGCAAAGTCTTCTGCTTGATAAAAACAGGATTGAGAAGAGACACTCCACTCAGGGGGACTGTTATCTAGTCACGCGTGATAAAACCCCCAGCAGCCACCTTACGGCCATGAGGGACACACTGCCTCAACAATGAAATGCAAGGAGTCTGGCTCTGAACAAACGCTGGCCTGGCCCTGCCTCTGGGTTCTTTCTACACACGATAATAAATCTCTCTGGTTTCAGCTGCCTTTCATCAAGATCTATTATTTACAGCAAAAGCATCCTATCTGAGCCACTATCTTCTCTGAAAAATTATTAAACAATTGGGAAGGGAAGGTCAAGACAAAAGAAAATAAATGAAGGTTCCAGTTCCCACATTAAATGCAGGATGAGTTCAGGTTCTGAACAGGAGGGCACTGCTGAGCAATCTCTCCGTCTATAGGAACACAAAGAAAACCAGTGACCATCTTTTGCAATTTTAGAGGCAGAACACCATTAAAATGTCTTCATCATACTGACCTGGCCTCTACTTTCTTTCCACAGATTTTTGCTCCATCCACTACCCAAAAGCAGTACTACTGACACTGTCCTAAAGCTTGCTTTTTTCCCCACTATCAACAGCTGGGAGAGCTTTCCAATTCCTACACAGAAAGCGTCCTCGCGTTTGAGACCTAATGCCAATATACCTTTGAATCCAGGTGACATTCCATATTAAAGGATTTTGTAGATGACATTATTTGGGTTTTTTTAAATAAATCTATTTATTTATTTATGGCTGCATTGGGTCTTCGTTGCCGTGCAGGGGCTTCCTCTAGTTGCGGTTAGTGGGGGCTACTCTTCGTTGTGGTGCGCGGGCTTCTCACTGCAGTTGCTTTTCTTGTTGAGGAGCACGGACTCTAGGCGTGCGGGCTCAGTAGTTGTGGCACGCAGGCTCAGGCTCGCGGGCTCTAGAGCGCAGGCTCAGTAGTTGTGGCGCACGGGCTTAGCTGCTCCACGGCATGTGGGATCTTCCCGCACCAGGGCTCGAATGCGCGTCCCCTGCATTGGCAGGCGGATCCTTAACCACTGCGCCACCAGGGAAGCTCTGTTTTTGTTTTTAATTTGTTTTTGTTTTTGTTTTCTAGATGACATTCTTATTTTCAGCATTTTGAAAAAGCATCATAGTTGGAAGTTGCTGAGACTAGAAAACACCTCAGAAAAGTGGAAACCATGATAACTGTTTTCATGAAGAGCGTTTAGGCTTTGCTACAAATGAAATATGCACGTTCCCTTCACTATACCCGTGTGCTTCTCCCTTGGGTTCTGTACCTGCAGCCCCCTCAGCCTGGAAGGCCGTCCCCCCATTGCCCCACGGCTCACTCCTTCCCTTCTTCAAGTCTTTCCTAAATCTTAAGAGGACTTCCTGGACTTCGTCATTTAAAATGGAAACACTCTGCACCCTCCTCACTCCCTATTCCTCACTTTCAATCCATTTTCTCTAGAACATTCTTCTTCTAACACACGGTATACAACTTTATTGTGGTTTTTGTCCTTTTCTCCTGAAAAGAACGGGATTCAGGCCTCTTTTTGTTCACTGTTGAACCCCTAGTACCTAACAGGCACGGGAGAAACAGCTGTCGCGTGAATAAAAGCATCAGATGGCAACCACGTGGGACATACAGCCAACACTGGTCTTCCCAGCTTAGCTACTGCCGATGATTCAATGATGCAGCAGGAGACAACATCCAAGAAGGAAGAAAATAGCGTGGGATCTCTTCAAAACATACAAACTTGTCAGAAGTTTATAACTTCTGGAATGTTCATTACAGGAGAATCAGAGAAGGTTGCAGATCTCAAAGTGATCCGAAGACCCATGAAGAATCAAAATCAATATTCAGTGCAGGGGACCTTCCTGGCGGTCCAGCGGTTAAGACTCCACACTCCCATTGCCAGGGGCGCGGGTTCGATCCCTGCTAGGGGAACTAAGATCCCACAAGCCACGCAGTGAGACCAAAAAAAAAAAATCAGTGCAATTGTCTTTCCAAGAGCTGCAGTGCTAAGGCCGTTGCCTATGTTGGTCCAAAAAAGGGGGTGACCAGGATAGAGCAGATGGAAGGCAAGAAACTTCTCTTTTCTTTGTGTTTGGATTATTTGAAATTTTTGAAATAAAAGCAAGAAAAGAAAGAAGAAACGAGGCAGACAATGCATTCATTCAGCAGGAACTAACCTCACATTCAGGACAAAACCAGTCCCCCTCTGGTTCCGATGTCAGTCTCAGACACTTAGCGTGATAAACCCGGGGACAGAGCTCACAGCAAAGGACTTGGCCTTCCCGGTGACAAACCCAGCAGTAGAAATCATTTCGTCCATCCTGCGGTACAACATCAACAGGGTCTGTGGTGAGTGGCTGCTTCATATAGTAAAACGGACCATGTCTTAGTTCTGACTGAAATGTAGGCAAGAAAGACAGGTTTGGTTTCAAAACAAATGTGCATTCTCAAAAGGAATTTGAACAAATACATCAATAACAACAGAAGAAAATTAGAGCATTTCACACATTCATTAAAAAGCTATCCTGGGTGACTCTACTTGAGCTTGCGGGTCGTTAGATATTAAGATTTATTTTTCTTTCTTGTATTTTAAGAGGCCATGGATTGAAAAGCTGGTGTCTAAGAGTTAACAGGCAGCCCTAGCAGGATAGTACAATGGTTACAACCCAGGCACGCCTGGGTTCAAATTTAGCTCTACCAGCTGCATGACCCAGGGCAAGTCTCTTAACCCCTCAGCTTCAATTTTCTCATCTGTAAAATGGGGATGATAATAACTAACATCACTGCATTGTGGCTGGGATCGTATAATGTATGCATTTAACACAGCGCCGCCATTACAAACATTGCTAATACGGTTAAAAGTCCAACGAATGGAAGTCTAAATGTACAAAGCCAAGAAAAATATGGCAATTTTCCCTGGGAGTCTTTCAACAACAGGCCTTCGTCGAATAGATCCATTGGAAATGAGTCACCAAAAATGTTCATTTTTTTTTAAGTCTACCCCCAATGCATAAAGTACTTAATAGCCAACAAGAGGCTCTCCTAAAACCATGATTCTCCAGCATGGTAAGTCCTGGTGTTTGCAGAGAAGCCACATCTCCTACTGAGAACGAACGAAGAATGGCAGAAAGATGAGAGAGGGGGGTGGCCAATTCATGGCCAAAACAGCAAGAGAAATGGTCCGCTAGTGATGTATTATAGAATCCAGCAGAGCCACTCGCCGAACTCACACAACCGCTCGGAAGAAACTCGTTAGGAAAATGCCTACTGGAAACCAATAAGAAATCCTGTTTAGGACGTATGAGAAAGTCCGGTGGTAAGTGTCAAAATGACCTGGTAACTGGCTGTGTGACCTTGAGAAACCCACTTCAGCCTTGATTCCATGGGCAACAGCTCAGCCACAACCACAGGGCCTCCTACCTCTGAATAAACCTCCTTGTATAACAAGCTTTTTCCTGTCTTTCAGTAAGACATTACAGTTTCCTCCATAAAGATCTCATATATTTGGTTAGGGGCTGCATAATTCTTGTTGCTGCTGGAATAGGACCTTTTCCAATTACAGTTTCTAAATAGTTATCGTTGGCATATAGAAGCGCTGGTATATAGATTTTTAATACTGACCTCATATATAAACAGTTCTGGTAGTGTATTGATTAAAAATCTTACCATCTCTAAGTAACATTAGTTTTGTCTGTCCGTGTCTAATATTTTTACATCACTTTTCTGCTTTCCTTATTTTACTGACTAGGACCCCCAGGATAACAAGGAAGAGTGACCAAGATTGCAGGCACCCGTCTCGCTCCTGGTTTTTATTACGAAGTTTTGATGTTCTCAAAATGCCTGCTACTTCCACCTTCCTTGATAAAGAGCCTCACAGACGCTTCTTTAGCAGTTCTTTGTGAACCAATCCTTCTAAGCCTCCCGACTCTCATTTCTACTAAGAAAACAGCTATGACTTATAAGGGCAGTTGCACAATTCTTGAGCTTGGTTATTGCCCTGTTTCAGTTCAACATTTAAAATAGAGCGCTCTCCTTGGTTTCCAGAGAATTAACATCATCGTTACGCTATTCCTTCCACGTTACGTTTTTCAACATACTGTCACACACACCATCTTCATTTTGTCCTCACCATCACTGAGAGAGGTACTCAGGGGAGACACCACTTAGTCTTACTAGACAGATGAGAAAACTAGGTTAAAAAGACTTATCTGACCCCCAAGCCCAGAGCAAGGACTCCCACCCAGGTCTCCGAGCACTTTCTCTCATCCCTGTGCCCCACAAAAGATGATGCTGGATGCAGAAGAGATTCTGATGATTAAGTGAACCCTCACAGAACATTCAGAAGTCATCCAAAATAACTTCTGCTTAAACAAACTTACAGTTACCAGGGGGTAAGGGGGGGAGGGGGATAAATTGGGAGATTGGGATTGACATATACACACTACTATATATAAAATAGATAACTAATAAGGGCCTACTGTACCGCACAAGGAACTCTACCCAATACTCCGTAATGGCCTATATGGGAAAAGAATCTAAAAAAGAGTGGATATATGTATATGCAGAACTGATTCACTCTGCTGTACACCTGAAACTAACACAACATTGTAAATCAACTACCCTCCGATAAAACTTTTCTAAAAATAATAATAACTTCTGCTTAATGCAAAAAGCTGGAGAGGAAAATACAAATCTGAAAATTCAGAAGACAGCTAAAAACATAATAGAGGGGACATAAAAAGATAACAGCGTCTAGAGTAAGGAGTTCTCAATTCATATGACATCTTGGGCCAGAAGATTCTTTGTTGCAGGGAGCTGTCCTGTGCACTGTAGGATGTGTAGCATCATCCTTGGCTAGATGCCGGTAGCAGCCCCCCTACCCACCATGCACAAAATTATGACAACCAAAAATGTCTCCAGACATTGCCCAGTGTCCCTGGGCGGGGTCAAAACTGCCCTCAGTTGACAGCCATCCATGTAGAGGATGTGCTATCTGCCTAGGAAAATGGTTGTTTGAGTTTCTATGGGGGAGAATGTTGGGGGGGGGGGCAGGGGGAGGGGGAGGAACGCCCACTGAAAGATAAACTGTACATATCAAGCAAGCAGAACTATTTCTAACCTGAGTGGGGTCTTCCAGGATGCTTTGTGGCTTTTGCAAGATAGCTGTAAGCTGTATTTCAGGGCCCAACTTCCTTTCAGTAAGTTAATAATAGGATAGGAAGAGTCATTAAGACCTAAATGAAACCAGAAGAATCGAATATGACAGCTCAGCTCCCTAGCTGGCAACCTAAGTCCTTTGCATCTAATAGAAGCTGGGATATTGTACTTGAGAAGCTTCCCCCGCCCCCTGTCCCTGACCCTACCCTCACCTGGCCAGAGGTAGGCGTTCCTGGGAGGACCATGAGGAGGGAGGGCCAGGCTGCCCCCTACTCTTTTCAGGAGTTTCATCCTTTCCCGAAACACCAGCTGTTGCTGAGAACTAGCTGCCCGGCGATGGCCTTGTCAATCAGACAGCTGCCTTGTCTGCTGCTTGTGTTTCCTGCTCCGTAAAAATAATCTGATAACGAATACGGAGCATTTAAAAAAGGCGAGGCAAATCATTTCAGCTAGAATGAGTTTATGATTGTTCTCCCTCACATGCACAAGGTGCGTTCCCAGCCTGCTAGGAAGGCAAGCAGGCTACAACCCGTGTTGCTATGAGATTAACTGCCGGCTGTGAGCACACATGTTCACATTCCCTGCTTCTTCCACAGGCCGGCTTAACAAGAAATAGACAGGCTTGTTCATTCCCTTCTGGAACACCTCAGTCTACACCAGGAGCCAGCAAACTTTCTCTAAAAAAGGCTTCTATAAAGATAGTAAGTAAACAGCTGAAGCTTTGCAGGTCGTGTGCTCTCTACTGCAATGACTCAACTCTTGTCAAAGGAAAGCAGAACCGACTGCAGACGAGATGTCACTGAGTGGACGTGGCTTTGTTCAGGTAAACTTTATTTACAGAAACAGGCTCTGGGCCGCGCCTGGTCTGTGAAAACCAGAGGATGGGTTCTGGGGCTGTGTGTGAGCACAGGGTGCATGTCTGGGGGGCCAGGGGCTGGGGGGAGAGGACCACAGACTCAAATTCCTTCTGGGGCCACACAGGGAACACAGATGAATGAAAACAGTCCTAGTTCTGGCTTGTATTCTCCTGCATTTGATAAAAGCACAAGGACTGCAAAATAAAGAAAGACTGCTTAGCCCTGGAGTGTGAGGATGACGCTGACACTCAGCCCCAGTGCTGGCGAGACGGCGGGAGGGGCAGAGCACGTGCCCGTCTTCAGGGCTCTCAGCTCCAGTGATCAAGGCCGCCAGGCAGACACACACACCAGGGGCTGCCTGGCCTCAGGAAAAAGCGGGCAATCCTGCTGTCTGTCCCCTGACCTGTCTCAGCTGTTAATACACTGCCCCCACCCAACAAGGAACTTCTGTGAAATGTCCCAGTTTTTAAGACAATGCATGGGCCCAGCAAAATAAGTCCTGGCCCACCTCTTTGTAATACGTATACCCCTGTACTCAGAGGAGACAAGAGGGGCCCTGTGATTTCTGTGCCATATTCCATCAAAGGTACACCTAAGGCCATTTTGCACAAATCTGTTAGCAGATTATTGTTCAATCCTTTAATGAGAAAGAAAAGGAAAGAAAAGAAAAGAAGTAAAGAAAAGAGGGATGGAAGGAGGGAGAGGAGGGGAGGGGAGGGGAAGGGGAACCTCCCAAAAGGACTCAACTCAAAATGTCCCAAGAACTACAGATTAGATTGGTATTTTACAGTAAAGGGCCAATATCACTTGGGACAAGGTATTTCTTGCCGCATCTACCGTAGGACACTTAGCAACCTGATCCTCCTCCTCACAGTGCCAGAAGCAGCCTTCCAGGCTTTGGGATGTCCCCCACCGGCAGTCCCAAGAAAAAAGCACCTATATGTTTTCAAACCTTTCCTAAGAGGTAAAATCACTAGACAAAAAGGCTGTAAAAAATTAATTATAGGACTTCCCTGGTGGCGCAGTGGTTGAGAGTCCACCTGCCGATGTAGGGGACACGGGTTCGTGCCCCAGTCTGGGAAGATCCCACATGCTGCAGAGCGGCTAGGCCTGTGAGCCATGGCCGCTGAGCCTGCGCGTCCGGAGCCTGTGCTCCGCGACGGGAGAGGCCACAACAGTGAGAGGCCCGCGTACCGCAAAAAAAAAAAAAAGAATCCGCCTGCCAATGCAGGGGACATGGGTTCGAGCCCTGGTCCGGGAAGATCCCATATGCCGCGGAGCAACTAAGCCTTTGCGCCACAACTACTGAGCCCACATGCCACAACTACTGAAGCCCGCGTGCCTAGACCAACAAGAGAAGCCACCGCAATGAGACACCCGCA